AAATTGGAGTCAAAATATTTCCATATATACTTATCTCAAGATTAAAGAGCAGTGATGGGAGGCTGGGATTCATGGAACAGCCAGAAAACCTCAAAAGAAGTCATGCTGCCTTATGCTGGACAAGAAATGTCTTTGAAATGTTTCAACTAGACAATGGCTTCAACACACCACTTATCAAGAGTTTTCTTGGTCCCAGACCACAGAGAGCAAAAGGTAGAAAACCAAAATCCTGGACCTGACTACAACAGGAATCCTTTAAGCATGTTGTGTTTTGAAATAAAACCAGGAAATACACAGGAACTGAGGTCCAAACAAAGAGCTGATAATCACATATTGAGTCTTTACTGCCATCTCAATATCAGTGCAATGTGCAGCGTCGAAATCACAGGCAGAACCTGGACGCCGTGTGATGAGAATCAACAGCTTTTAAACCAGAGACCATAATTATCGGCTGAGAAAAATGTGAACTAATCCCATAATATTGTCATCAAGTCTCATTCATGAGTGATAGACTGAAATGACTGAGATTTTCTTCTGATGCCGTTGCTGCATCCTGTTGCACAGAATACGTCGAGAGATGCATCAGCAACACAGCAAGGACCCAAGTCAGGTAACGGGCCGTCATTTGGCGCCTTCATCACATGCATGCCAAGGTCATGCTCGGGTGCATCGGGACAGGACAGAACAGACTTCAGCTGCAGAGAGCGTCATGTGAGCGGCTGGTGCTTCTTGATAATGGAAAAAATTGACAATGAAGAAGAAGGAGTTTCCCCCAAGCTGTCGCTCTTACTTGCCAAGCAGAGAGCGAATGATTTTCATTCAAACAATTAAATTCTTCACAAAATACACCAAGCATAAGACACTTTCTTTTTTTTTTTTTTTTGCAATTCTTCAAATAATTATCCATGATGTTATGTGACGGCTGCAGAGCGAATCACATTTACGTCACACAAAATTCGGCTTTATTGTTTAAGATTACCAGTTAGAAAATGGAGCTCCCTCTTAATGTTCTCAACTGTGCCTTGCATGACGACAGGAAACATTTCCTTGGGTGGTAAATGGGTTTAAAAGCTTAAAATTGACTGCTGTAACGCAGGGAAAGAATGACTTTGATTATCTCCAGATGGCACAAAAAGCTACAGAAAAAGCTTCCAGCTGGAACTAATGAAAGAACGCACAGGATTCCCGTTTTATCACATTTTGACTTGTCACCATTTGCTTTCGGATCTCGTCTTAAAACTGGTAGCTTTCGCGGCCGAACGCCTCGGGAAAAGCCCGTCTTGTTAAAACTTTACACTTTGAGTGTAAAGTTTTAACAAGTATAAAGTATAAAGTATAAACTTTATAAACAATATATAAAGTTTTATTCATACATATATATATATATATATATATATATATATATATATATATATATATATATATATATATATATATGAGCCTTAAGAAAATTGTATATAGTAGTAAAAATATTTTAAAATCATAACAATTTTTTTACTTAGTTTAGTTTAAATAAATATATAAAAATATCATTAAAATATTTAATTAAAAACAACAAAAAAATACATTAAAGAAAATATGTAATGGAAAAAACACTAAAAACTGAACTTAAATTAAACAATATATACAAAAGGTACAATAAAAAAATACATTAAATACATACAAAACTATCAAACTAACAAAAGACATGACATACGTTTCGATAATGTCAGTATCTGCATCCAACAGAGGAGATGATCATTTGAAATGCTGTTCCACTCATTGTCAGGTGTGCAGCTTCAACCCTTTGTCTCTAAACATGACAAACATTACTCCACATAATGCACGGTCAGGCAGACCCTGATGTTTCTGCTCAGAGGCTCAGAAACCAGATCCTGCCCTATCAGGTGTCCCAGACGAGCCCCCGGTCAGCCCCCCACCTGCCGATCAAATCGACCTGCAAAACCACCTGGCTGATTTGACAAAGACGCGCTCCACTGCACGGATGAAGAGCAAGAGGAGGAACACAAACTTTCAAGCTTCCCTCTTACATAAAGGCTTGCTAAATGAGTGGGGAGGGGGAGGATTGATTTGCATTATTAAAAAATGAAGTAGTTTTCTTGCACGATTCTGAACAGGCAGCACGACGTGCAGCCACAGCGGCCAATCAGAGTCGCTTATTACGCCTCCGGGCTCATTCTGGGATATCAATCACCAGAGCTCTCGGCTTCCACTGAGTTTAATGAAGCCACTTATTTGAAAAATTACACATTCAAGAGTGACACTTAAACCCCCCTCCCTACAAAAAAACACACGCTCAAACATTAACACACACTCATCAGGGAGACTTGTGACTAACACACAGCGCTAATTAAAAACATATCAAACAGAAGGTGAGTTAAGCAATCAAACTGGCAAATGAAGACACGTCATGCAGGGCAGACCGAGGAGGTTAGTGTGAAGATCCTGTTTGAAGACGTGTGCATATTGCAAAGACTTCTGCTGCTCCGACATGTTGGTCTGAAGCCAAAAAGCGTAATAAATAAGCCACAGCGGCTAAGGCAAGTGTTGTTTTGGCTAAATGCAGAGGATTACTTTAATACAGAGATGATTAGGGGAATGTAGGAAGAGTTGGGCTGCAGGCCCAGATCTCAGTCCACACGCATGGAACTCCTCCTCTTCATCCACATAAAGCACTGAGTCATTCCTCATCTCTTTGTGCTTTGCTTAAAATAAGGCAAACGTTGTTTCTTTGCTATATGCCAAAGTAATACTGAGCAACAGTTTTTGAGGCTCTCTGATGGTTTCTCTAACTTTTTCTTTTGACTTTGGCTCCTTTTTTTCTTTATCGAGGTTCAGCACCAGAACGTGGCCTATACAAAGCAAAGCAGACAAAAATATACTAGCCAGGCTGAAGCAGGTTTAATAAGAGTTGCCCATTAGACATTAAGTATTTCAGTGGATGGTACTTTCCAAACGTAATCGGTGAAAAATTCTGTTTTAAGCTTTTCTTCATTTCAGCGTCTGCTCCGTTGGGTTTCTGAGCTTCGAACAAAATAAAAATGCCTCAGTTCTGCAGCCGAAGCCAAAGCATCTTTGTTGGAAGTGCAAAGAGCTCAATAATGTCATTATGACTTTGAGGAAATGAACTTCCAATGTTCCTCCAGCTGACCGGTCTTAGGCTTGAAAAAAATGTTCTGTTTCGCCTTGAACACGCGAAACCGGCCGCTTGGTTTTAAACAGAATGGCAGAAATATGTTGAACAAATCAACAAATGGCAAAAGCATTTTTCCGGTGCAAACTACGTCTTCACTGCAACAGCCAAGCAAGCAGAGTATCCAAGTCAGGGTTTCCACTTTTTCACTCCTGTGCTCATTATTGAAATCTAGTGCAACCAATTGCCGTCAGAAAAATATCTAATTGGTAAAATACACCAATTGGATTTTAATCTCATTATAAATCCAGCTGTTCTGAAAGCCACCGGTAATAAAAAAATATAGTGAACAAAGAGGGTAGAAGCACACCAAACAGGTCAGAGGTCAAGTTGCAGAGAGGATTAATACAGCGTTAGATTTTAAAGCAATATTTCGAGCTTTGAAAGTCTAACAAAGCGCTGCTAAGTCACCTGGAAGTGAAATGTACGAGCTTGGCTCAGCAACAAATCAACCAAGACGTGACAACACTCACCAGAGAAGACAAAATGTATATTGTACCTCTGGAGGAGCTGCAGGGATCTAGAACTCAGTAGGGGGAATATTTCGATTGGTCAGCTGGGACCTGTGAAAATGCTCCCAAACAGTTGTGAGACTCCGATGAGGCAGAGAAATGAAGGAGGGGGCTTTGAAAATACAGAATATTCACTTCTAGCGTTTCTTTAAATGCTCCAGAAAACATTTTCCTGTTACTCAAATGAACGCGGCAGCGTTGGAACATTGTGACTAAATAAATCAAGAGAAGAGAACCGAGCACTCTTCAGATCATCACCGATCAGAATTCATTTTATTTTAGGGCAAAACGGGGAGCAGTTTTACAGGCTGTACTGTGTGTGTGTGTGTGTGTGTGTGTGTGTGTGTGTGTGTGTGTGTGTGTGTGTGTGTGTGTGTGTGTGTGTGTGTGTGGGTGTGTGTGTGTGTGTGTGTGTGTGTGTGTGTGTTTTACAACATCAGTTAAGGCAATAAAACCTCAGACAAGGAAGGGAGAGGGGGAGCAGCAGGATGAGACAAAAATAGGTGACGATGGGAGGAAAAAGACTGGAAAAATACATTTGGAAAACAAACAGAAAGAAGCTAAATCGAGAAGAAAGTGGAAAAACACATGGGAAAAGGCAGTAAATGGCGAAAGAGAAGGAGATAAAAATGGGGGAGGTGAAGCAAACTGAGAGGAAGATGGACATCAGATGAGGAAATGGTCAGCAGAGAGGAGGGGTACAAAAAAAAAAACAGAAGCAGAAAGAGGAAAAAGTGAGGAGAAGAAGCCGCACCTAAATCTGCTCTGGTGGAGAAAGAGGAAACACTGAGCTGAGCAGATTCTCTGCACTCCAGGCTGCTGCATCAGCCATCCAGACACCCAACCGGTAGCAGACCACTACTCCCAGTACCATCCTACTGGTAGCTAAGCCACACACACAAACAAAAAAGCCAGAAGATGGACAGAGCACTACAGAGTGGGAATGATCAGACCGGCAGAGTGGCCGTGGATGAAAGGCCAGGTGGAGGGAGTGAGCGTGTCTGACTGACTGACTGGATTATGCAAATACGAGTCAAATGTTTCGCCCGGGCAGAGACAAGGTGCGATCGAGGCGCGGCTGGAAGACGCAGCTTCATGAAACCCAGCTGTTCCGCCAAAACATCCGGTCTAAATCAGACAGAAAGCAGAAAGACCGCTTCTGGTTTATCAGCGTTTATAACGCTACAGCTGGAGAGTATCCCCCCCCCCCACACCCCACACCCCACACACACACCCCACGCAAATGGTCTCTGACACACACCGATACAGAGGAGGAGAGGAAACGCGCCGCTTACTTGTTGGGAAAAAAATAAAAAATAAAAGAGAACAAAATTCCCCCACAGGAGCTTCGGTTTCAGGACGGTTTCCTCGGTGCGGGGAAAATTCCACGTCCGCGTCCACGGAGCTGCTGGTTCCCCGCGGTGTTAAGAGCCACGGAGCCCGCTGGCTGTGTGAGCGGCGGGCGGAGCGCTCTGCCTTCAGCACCACACTGCTTTGAACAGCTCCCGCTGACGTCACCGCACGGCTACGACACCACGCCCACTTCTCCTAGCAACCACGGCCGCCACGCCCCCTCTCTCTCCCTCCCCCCGTACTCACGGAGAGGAGGGGCCAAAGTTATCAATAAACTCATGCCTGGATCAAGACTGCTTGAAACATCCCTTTTTAAATGTATTATTATTATTATTATTATTATTATTGGGTTAGGGTTAGGGTTAGGGCTGTATTTTTTATTTTTTTCTCTTCTAACATTTAAGTTTTAATGTCTGGCTGCAGGAGAACATGAAAGCGACTAATGAAGATCAGCAATAAATGCAGTGAATTCATCAATAAGAGAATCCAGATCTAGGCGATTAAAAATGTGCAAACAAACAAAAGTGAAAAGTTATCTAACCTACATTTTTGGTTCAATAGATATAAGTACAAATTGAATGAAACGTATTGATGTGGCAGCAAACAGCAAGTGTCCTCATAGAAGAGAAACAGATTCAATTAACTTCCTGTTGCGCTAAAATATATTTCTAATCAATCTCATGTACTTCTAATAGATGGACAGTTGGATACACACTTGGATCCTAATTATAATACAAGGCAGCCAAATTTGGTTTATAACACTACCCAGTAAATATTATCAAAACAAATCCCCAACAAGTGGAAAACTGCAATAAAAAAAAACTGCTAAATATATTAGCAGCAAATTGCCGATGCTGTCTGTGGAAAGAAAGGCAGAGAGAAATGTTCAAGTTATGAGTAACATCAACGCCTGTTTGATTGGAGACAGGTATGGAAGTTCAGGGCCAATAGAAGATGCTAAAATCACAGTCAGATTTTGTGCCCTGGCACGATGACCTCAGAGGATCCGAGGTGTCATGGCGGTCCTGTCAAGAGGTGAGACTTTTCCCCAAATCAATACCTGGAAATGCAGGCAGGTCCCATGCAGACACAGCCTCAGTTTTCTGGCAATTCAGCATTTTATTGATGCAGAACAGCTGTTCTCGAAGTAAAACGTTCAAATGTTTTCTATGGCACACATGAATGTGCGTATAAATGGTCGTCGCAGTGTGTGGGCTTTTGGAAATCTGCTGCAGATTCCTGCTGAGCTGAGAGAAGTCACGCCGTGGTCACTTTTCTGTTATGGAAGCGATATATGAACCTTTTACTTGCTGGCCGTAAACCAAGCTGAAGAGATGATACAGCAGAACATGTTGCCTTAGTCACAGAACTAAGAGAGGTGAACAATAAGCTTTAAGAGGTTCTGGTCTACAGAGTAACTCCTACAATCCGAATGCTGAGTGCAGCAAAACATGTGTCTTGGCTGCAAAGAGATTCAAAGAGAGCTTATTTTTGAAACAAAGCTTCTTTGCCAGACATCCACCCTGACTGAACTGCAGATTCTACTCTAAATTAGCTTCATGAGCTTTTTCCCTCAATATGGATTCATCAATGCACTAAAACGTTGATGAATGGTTTATTCATCAATGTTCGCGCTAATCAAAAAGATTAGAGAGCGATGATATCGCTCTCTAATATCGCATGATCACATGATCACACATCTTCCTGATCACGCACCCGTCCCTGGACGCTCTGAGAAGGAGTGTTTTCTAAACAGGAGTGTTTTCTAAACAAAAACAATTGCTCAATGCTGGAGAAGAATCTGGGGATAAATTAATCATAGAATACTGTAACAATAAAAGGAGGTGATGATATTTGTCGGTGTCCACAGGAAGAAAACGACTTATTATGTGCAATGAAGTGAAATAAACGTTGAACATATTTAGTGACAGTTATTAAGTAGAAAATCATTTTTGGTTATGGAACCTCCAAGACAGATCCTGTAAGAATGAATGAGTTGCATTATTATATATATATATATTTTTTCTTTGCACAGGGCTGATTTTACTCAAAAACATAAACTGCATCAATGTTGACATTCAGTCACTTTCATGAAGTTCCATGTGATTTCTAGCCAGATGATTAACTGGGTCATCTAGTAGCTTGATTTCCTCTCTCTTAATCAAGCAATTTCCATAGCTTGTTGCTTTTCGTGCTGAGAACCCCACCCTGACTTCATTTTCATAATCTGATAACGAACTGGCACATTTATCCTTTCTTTTATTTTATTTAGGTGCTTTACAAATAGACCAGCAAAACCTAGCCTGTCCAAAATGTACTTATATATTAGTACAAGTTTTAGAAGCAGCATCAGTCAAAACATGCTACACTTTAAAATGTTCAGTTTTAATTTTTTTTCAGGATCACTAGCAATTTAAAATGGGGTCATCCAGAATCATCCAGGGGTGGAGCACAGATGAACCATGAAAATGAATCTTTTGCATCTCTTTCTTTCACACGACAGGCGGCAGAAACTCTCTCATTGCTGTCGACGGCCGTTCTGTCCTGCCACCGCACCCAGAATCAAAGGTGCTTCAACTCTTCCGATCAGTGTTGAGTTTCATCTCCTAGACGCAGAGAGCTGAGAGCCGTGACCTGCTGATCTGCAAACACTGCGATCACATGATCACACACCTTCCTGATCACGCACCCGTCCCTGGACGCTCTGAGCAGCAGTGTTTTCTAAACAGGAGTGTTTTCTAAACTAAAACAATTGCTGAATGCTGGAGAAGAATCTGGGGATAAATTAATCATAGAGTACTGTAACAATAAAAGCTACAGTAGCAATGAGTATTGACTGATCAAAAGAAAAGCCCTGAGCAGCTCTTTTCATTGTTTCAGATCAAAATCTTCTCCCTTCCATTTTGCTTAGAACTATTGTTACTCTTGTCTTATTGACCTGAATCATTTCTCTGTGTGCCAACTCTCTCACTGCTTGAAACTGTGGCCAGAGACAAGTGAACAGCCTGAAGCTGCTCTCTGTGCTGCTTGTGTTCAGTCCAGCGACTGTAAGTGCAGAGGTGTGAGACTCTGGCTCTGTGAGGCGGCTGCTGTCTTTTCGCTTCCTGTCAGGCTGCTCTTCATGGACCCTTTTAACAGGTTGTCCTCCCATGGTCACTCGAACATAAATGCCAGCTCCGTGTTTTGCTCGATGTGGTTCTCTTTCCTGTTTTAAAGTTAGCGCTTTGTTTGCCATTTAAAACAGTTTGTAGACTAGATTTTGTATTTTTTTCCACATCTTGTTTTGCGTTTCCTGGTGAATTCCTGCGTTTGTCTTTTCGGTGCTGTGATGTGCAGACACATCTTACCAGCATGTTTCCCTCACAGCTATTTCCCATTCACACATCGCTCCTCCCAGTATTTCCACTTCTGGTTTGTTTTGAGTTACTGTCAGGCTCCAGCTGTCACCCACTTAACTCCTTGGGGTTTTTTCCACTTGTTTCTTTTGCAGAGTGGCAAGTTATTGTATTTCTTTGGTAGGTTGAGTAAAATATACGATAACATGATACTGTCTCCCCATCCATATTTGTTTGGAACCTCCTCGATACACGAAATAATCCATAGATTCAAAGCCAACATGATGGCCTCGGTTGCATGCGCGTGGGAAAATTAAACTTAAATTATAAACGTGTCATCAAAGTTACTATTAATTGTTGTAATAGACTATTACACTCTGAAATAATAATAAAAAAAATCTCAGAGCGTTAATTATTCAAGACAGACCAATACCTTCCTATGCTATTGCGCTTGATTTCAATCGTGTTGATCTAAAAGAAAAACGAAAAGAAAAACGCAGATTTTGCAGTAAACATGAAACACTTTACTCTTTTTCTTTTTTAGCAAATAACATTTATGTGTTTCTCACTGATAGAAAACATGTTTACTTAACTCTCTATAAAATATTATATTTATTTTATGTTTATTATGTTTATTGAAGAGTTTCAAATCTCACACATGTACAATTCTGCACGGATTTTCGAGTGGTTCTTTGTTTAATGATCCTGTGAATCCAACGTGCATAAAAAAAAAGAAAAAATGAAGCCGGCAGACTTCAGTAATTTGCTTTTGCAGTTCATAGTTCATGTTTGCAGTAAATCTAATGTGACAAGGACGTGCCATATTGACTTCTCCATGGACCGGTGAGGAAATGAGCACAAATTAATCTCTATGTTCTGAGGAGATGATTCTGCCCTCAGATATATTTCCAACTTTAATGATCTCAAACTAAACAGGAGCATCTTTTCCTGAGAGGTTTTGCTTTGACATCTGAAATAAACGGAGGATGTATTAGACAGATAGACAGGATAGGACACAGGCAATCAGAGCTTTTAGTTGAGTGATTCAAGAGCTGGGAGCCTGCAGGGCAACCTCCGGAGTCCTCGACAGGCCTGCAGACAGAAGCTGCAGGAGATTAGCGAAGACAGACGAAGAGAGCTGTAATAATAAATTTGGGACACGAGGGATTGTGGGGGCTTACATCAGCGTGGCTCTGTGATCTGTGAGTCAGATAGTGTCTAAGGTGATTTACCATGCAGTACGTGAGCAGCACCTGGCCTCCGTTAGTCAAAGAGAGGACAGTAATCCTTTTCAAGTGAATCTGTGTCATCAGACAAAATCCTCTGATTTCCTAAAAATTCAAGATAAAAACAGGGATTAAGACGAGACAAAATACAAGCAATCTGAGGGGAAAAAACAAAACACAATTCACAAAACCTATAACTTTAAATGTATAAGACCGTCATACAGTAGTTTTTGTATTAGTGTTGAATATGTCTCATTATTATGACAAAAAAAAACATCTTGCTGAATGGAAGAGAAAACAAAATAGAACATAAAAACATCTAATACACCGTCTCAAAAGCATATTTAGTATAAAAATCATAAATAAAAAAAGAAGCAATCAAACCACAGTAATGAGAGCCCACATTTACATGGTTTACCATTTGAAACCCTTCAGAGTATTAATAAAAATCTGCTGTTCAGCAGTTAGTACAATAATCTGATAGTGTATTTATAAGGGAAACATGCAAATGCATGAAGAAAGACCCCAAACCTGAACATGAACCCAGG